CCGCCGCTACGGCTTGGCGCCGCCGCCGCCGCGGCCGGGCCCCGCGGGCGGCGGCGGCGGCGGCGGCAGCGACGGGGAGGCAACGAGCCGGGCGGCGGCGCGGGCGCTGCGGGAGAGCGTGGACGTGACGCGGCTCAGCAGGATTGCGGTGTCAAACCTGGAGAAGGTGGGAGGGGGGGCGCCATGATTGAATCATCCCATGCGGCAACCGCGGCCTTGATCGGCCTGGATACCCCACCCTGCGTGGCACTCTGCTTCAGATAAAAGGGGCTCTTCCTTCACTGGTCCATTGGGCCTTCGGGCGCCCGCAAGAGGGCGCCTGCCAAAGACCACATCGGCGCCGGCTGCACCGGCAGCGGCGCGACCAGACCTTGCCAGCCGCCTCTGCCCTCTGAGGTCTGCTAGTCAACCCGTGAGAGCTCGAACCCGCACCTGCGCCCGTTTGCGTGTGACGTCACTGGCAGGACGGCGACGGCGGCGCGGACTACACTGCGGCGGCCCCCCAGGCCAACGGCGCCGACATCGTCATCGACAGCGCCGACGCTGAGCTGGACTTTGAGGAGGAGGCGCGGGACGGTGGGGGCCCTTGGGGGGCGGCGCGCGCCGCCATACGGACGATGAGTCATGCCGTCACCCCCGCCTGGTCTGATGCAACCTGATCTGATCCGACAAGGACCCATGCATGGAGACCATTGAATTCGCACATGGATGTGCGCGTTCACGGTGTTAAGCGTGATCTTCTGCATGGCGCGTGCGCGTGTCCTTGCCCGCAGCCCAAGAGGAGGATTCGGACGGCGGCGCGCCCTCCAGCGGCGACGACGGGAGCGTGATTGACCAGAGCGGCGCCGCCGGCGCGGGGGAGCGCGAGCTGGGGGCGCTCGGGGTGGTCGGGGCGATGGGCGGCGGCGCGGCCAAGGCGCAGGCGGCGCGCGGCAGGGCGGGCCAGGCGCCGCAGGCGGCGGCGGCGGCGGCGGGGCAGCAGCAGCGGCACGGCCAGGGGGCAGCGGGCGGAGGGGCAGGGG